GAGAAATGTCTGAACATCACGGAACTTTTGAGTCGACTCAAAAGTCACCTCGCTCGGGCTCGCCGAGAAATGTCTGAACATCGCGGAACTTTTGAGTCGACTCAAAAGTCACCTCGCTCGGGCTCGCCGAGAAATGTCTGAACATCGCGGAACTTTTGAGTCGAATCAAAAGTCACCTCGCTCGGGCTCGCCGAGAAATGTCTGAACATCGCGGAACTTTTGAGTCGACTCAAAAGTCACCTCGCTCGGGCTCGTCGAGAAATGTCTGAACATCGCGGAACTTTTGAGTCGACTCAAAAGTCACCTCGCTCGGGCTCGCCGAGAAATGTCTGAACATCGCGGAACTTTTGAGTCGACTCAAAAGTCACCTCGCTCGGGCTCGCCGAGAAATGTCTGAACATGGCGGAACTTTTGAGTCGACTCAAAAGTCACCTCGCTCGGGCTCGCCGAGAAATGTCTGAACATGGCGGAACTTTTGAGTCGACTCAAAAGTCACCTCGCTCGGGCTCGCCGAGAAATGTCTGAACATCGCGGAACTTTTGAGTCGACTCAAAAGTCACCTCGCTCGGGCTCGCCGAGAAATGTCTGAACATCGCGGAACTTCTGAGTCGACTCAAAAGTTACCTCGCTCGGGCTCGCCGAGAAATGTCTGAACATGGCGGAACTTTTGAGTCGACTCAAAAGTCACCTCGCTCGGGCTCGCCGAGAAATGTCTGATCATTGCGGAACTTTTGAGTCGACTCAAAAGTCACCTCGCTCGGGCTCGCCGAGAAATGTCTGAACATCGCGGAACTTTTGAGTCGACTCAAAAGTCACCTCGCTCGGGCTCGCCGAGAAATGTCTGAACATCACGGAACTTTTGAGTCGACTCAAAAGTCACCTCGCTCGGGCTCGCCGAGAAATGTCTGAACATCGCGGAACTTTTGAGTCGACTCAAAAGTCACCTCGCTCGGGCTCGCCGAGAAATGTCTGAACATCGCGGAACTTTTGAGTCGAATCAAAAGTCACCTCGCTCGGGCTCGCCGAGAAATGTCTGAACATCGCGGAACTTTTGAGTCGACTCAAAAGTCACCTCGCTCGGGCTCGCCGAGAAATGTCTGAACATCGCGGAACTTTTGAGTCGACTCAAAAGTCACCTCGCTCGGGCTCGCCGAGAAATGTATGAACATCGCGGAACTTTTGAGTCGACTCAAAAGTCACCTCGCTCGGGCTCGCCGAGAAATGTCTGAACATCGCGGAACTTTTGAGTCGACTCAAAAGTCACCTCGCTCGGGCTCGCCGAGAAATGTCTGAACATCGCGGAACTCACACACACCCGTACTGTTGCCGTACCTGAGAAAAAGAAAAAGGGTAGGAACGGGAGGCATGTGCGGCAGGGGGAAGGAGGGGGGGGAGGGGGGAAGCATAACGGGAATGAAGGAGATGAGGATCCGCCTGCCTCACAACCCACCTGCCTCACAACCCACCTGCCCACATCCCACCTGCCTCACAACCCACCTGCCCACATCCCACCTGCCTCACATCCCACCTGCCCCACATCCCACCTGCCCCACATCCCACCTGCCCCACATCCCACCTGCCCCACATCCCACCTGCCCCACATCCCACCTGCCCCACATCCCACCTGCCGTTGAAGACGTCCCAGAGAATTTGCACCTCTGCAAAGTCCCCTCCTGTCACCGTGTCCTGTGAAAGCAGGCTCTTTGGGTCCTGCATGCATGCACCAGCAGGCGAGGAAGAGCTTTGAGGCGCCTCAAAAATAGACTCTAAATAATTAGACGCCTCAAAAGTCCCCGCCTGTCACCGTTTCCTTTGAAAGCAGGTTCTCTGGGTCCTGAATGCATGCACCAGCAGGCAAAGAAGAGAGCAACAGGGCGGTTAGGGGAGAGAGAGAGAGAGAATACTACAGCGGCCAAAAAAGTAGACCAGAAAAGCAGCGGCAGGTTTTAGGGTTTAGGCTTGGGGGCTGGGCGGCACATGAAGCAGCGGCCAAAAAAGTAGACCACTACCGCGCCTGTGCGGAATACGTGGGATTCTTCCCACTAGCCGTTGAGACATACGGCTGCCCGTGCCCGGAGACTGCTGACTTCCTTAAGCTTCTCACGGAGACTGCTGCCCGCAAGCATTTTAACGCCGATTCTCACGGAGACTGCTGCCCGCAAGCATTTTAATGCCGATTCTCACGGAGACTGCTGCCCGCAAGCATTTTAACGCCGATTCTCACGGAGACTGCTGCCCGCAAGCATTTTAACGCCGATTCTCACGGAGACTGCTGCCCGCAAGCATTTTAACGCCGATTCTCACGGAGGCTGCTGCCCGCAAGCATTTTAACGCCGATTCTCACGGAGACTGCTGCCCGCAAGCATTTTAACGCCGATTCTCAAGGAGACTGCTGCCCGCAAGCATTTTAACGCCGATTCTCACGGAGACTGCTGCCCGCAAGCATTTTAACGCCGATTCTCACGGAGACTGCTGCCCGCAAGCATTTTAACGCCGATTCTCACGGAGACTGCTGCCCGCAAGCATTTTAACGCCGATTCTCACGGAGACTGCTGCCCGCAAGCATTTTAACGCCGAGCCGAGCCCTCATCCTACCAAGCGGCAGAAATGCTGCGTCAATCCCGCCAGCGTTGGTCGGTGGCGTTGCAGCGAGGGCAGTCGATTGGCTATTTGACTAAGTGCAACCTAGCGGCTGCGGTGGAGAACCCAGCCAGTGGGGGCTCCACGCGAGACCTTGTCCCTTGGGAACTGTCTCTAGGCGAGACCTTGTCCCTTGGGAACTGTCTCTAGGCGAGACCTTGTCCCTTGGGAACTGTCTCTAGGCGAGACCTTGTCCCTTGGGAACTGTCTCTAGGCGAGACCTTGTCCCTTGGGAACTGTCTCTAGGCGAGACCTTGTCCCTTGGGAACTGTCTCTAGGCGAGACCTTGTCCTTGGGAACTGTCTCTAGGCGAGACCTTGTCCCTTGGGAACTGTCTCTAGGCGAGACCTTGTCCCTTGGGAACTGTCTCTAGGCGAGACCTTGTCCCTTGGGAACTGTCTCTAGGCGAGACCTTGTCCCTTGGGAACTGTCTCTAGGCGAGACCTTGTTCCTTGAGAACTGTCTCTAGGCGAGACCTTGTCCCTTGGGAACTGTCTCTAGGCGAGACCTTGTCCCTTGGGAACTGTCTCTAGGCGAGACCTTGTCCCTTGGGAACTGTCTCGCAAGAACCCCCTCTGGATCTCATCTCCCTTAGAGGAGGACAAGGTCTCTAGGCGAGACCTTGTCCCTTGGGAACTGTCTCGCAGTTCTAGCACCCCCCCTGGATCTCATCTCCCTTAGAGGAGGACAAGGTCTCGCCTAGAGAAGGTTTCTCCCCTCTGGATCTCCCTTAGAGGGAGATCAGCGGGGAGGCAGCTTCTGTTTTGAAGTTGACATTTCCTGGTTGTAAGTTTCTTATGCGGATCACTATGCCTGTATACTGCCGCCTATATCAATGTCGTGCTTTGTGCGCCCTCGCTGTTGATTGTGACCTACGGGGTACGTGCCCCACCAACAACAGCCTTCCTGAAACTACTCGTGACGGCAGCAGCAGCACGGAACGGGTTCAGGGCTAACCACTTGGCCAAAACGACCAAGAAGCTGACCGGGCAATTAAGCGCAGCGTTGGGCTGTGGCGCTACAGCCTACAGCGCAGCCAAGCGAATGCCTTGCACTTCAACGCAAGGGCTGGGATAGAGGCGGCACACCCCCTGATGCACTCGGTCGGACCCTTGGCGGCTGCAGCTGGGGGGCATGCTCCACTGGAGGGACGGGTGTGGAGGTCTAAAGGGAAAGGGGAAAGTAGGGGTGGCGGATTACCAAGCTGATTATTATTGTCTTCGCCTGTAACCCACCCCCGCATGAATAATACAAAGGACCGTGGAAGAGAGAGAAACATTATGGTTAGAGGGAAGAGGATCGAGCAGGAATGGGTGGGTCCTGCACGCATTCACAGGGATGGAGGAGGCGAAAGGAGCAGATAGCGAAGTGGGGAGGGAGGGGTACAGCAGCATGGTTAGAGTGTTTTTTGAGAATTCTAAAAAAACGCTCGCTGCATCCGAGGCGGAATGGGAGGAACGGTCCTAGGAGGTACGATATGCATGCAGTGCAGGTGAGTGCATACGCAGATCGTGCAAACAGTGCGCTTCACCCCACCTTCCCCCCGCCCTCCTTCCCTCACACACACACGCACCTGAATACAGAATGTGAGGGCCACGATGGCACCCCACTCCACGAAGCAGATGACTGAGAGAGGGCCGCTATTATCGCAAACGGTGCTGTCACGTTCACTTGCTCATCCCCTCTGCACGTACTGACCAGTCAAGTCAACACTGCACCCACCTGGATGCAGAATGTGAGAGCCACGATGGCACCCCACCCCACTCCACGAAGCAGATGACTGAGAGAGGGTAGCTATTATCGCAAACGGTGTTGTCACGTTCACTTGCTCTTCCCCTCTGCACGTACTGACCAGTCAAGTCAACACTGCACCCACCTGGATGCAGAATGTGAGAGCCACGATGACACCCCACCCCACTCCACGAAGCAGATGACTGAGAGAGGGTAGCTATTATCGCAAACGGTGTTGTCACGTTCACTTGCTCATCCCCCCTGCACGTACTGACCAGTCAAGTCAACACTGCACCCACCTGGATGCAGAATGTGAGGGCCACGATGACACCCCACTCCACGAAGCAGATGACTGAGAGAGGGCAGCTATTATCGCAAACGGTGTTGTCACGTTCACTTGCTCATCCCCTCTGCACGTACTGACCAGTCAAGCCAACACTGCACCCACCTGGATGCAGAATGTGAGAGCCACGATGACACCCCACTCCACTAAGGAGATGACTGAGAGGGCAGCTATCATGCACTGTGCTGGCCCAGGAGGTGTGCTACCCACCCACCCACCTGGATGCAGAATGTGAGAGCCACGATGACACCCCACTCCACGAAGCAGATGAGCGAGAGGGCAGCTATCATGTGCTGTGCTGGCCCAGGAGGTGTGCTACCCACCCACCCACCTGGATGCAGAAGGTGAGAGCCACGATGACGCCCCATTGCATGAAGCAGATGACGGAGAGGGCGGCTATCATTGCAAAGGGAGTCGTCACGTCGGACCGCTTCGCCTCTTCTGACGTGTGAGCCGCTGCGTCGAATGCGTAGAGGGCGTATTGAGACATGAGGAGGCCTGCTACCACTGCATATGCCTGGGAGCGGGATCAACCAAAGGGGAGGGGAGGGGAAGGGAGAGAAGGAATGGTCACAGTGTAGCCTCTTCTGACGTGTGCGCCGCTGCATCGAAGGCGTAGAGTGCGACATGAGGAGACCGGCTACCACCGCATACGCCTGGGACCAGCCAAGGGGAGACAAGGGGGGGGGGATAATACACAGCAGTAGTGATTGCCTCTTCTGACTGATGTGTGCGCCGCTGATCGAATGCGTAGAGCGCGTATCGAGACATGAGGAGGCTGGCTACCACCGCGTATGCCTGGAACAATCAAGGAGGAGGGGAGAAAGGATCGGTCCGGTTTTGCCTCTTCTGACGTGTGCGCTGCGGCTGTCATGCGTAGACATGAGGAGACCGGCTACCACCGCATACGCCTGGGACCAGCCAAGGGGAGACAAGGGGGGGGGGATAATACACAGCAGTAGTGATTGCCTCTTCTGACTGATGTGTGCGCCGCTGATCGAATGCGTAGAGCGCGTATCGAGACATGAGGAGGCTGGCTACCACCGCGTATGCCTGGAACAATCAAGGAGGAGGGGAGAAAGGATCGGTCCGGTTTTGCCTCTTCTGACGTGTGCGCTGCGGCTGTCATGCGTAGACATGAGGAGGCCGGCTACCACCGCGTATGCATGCCTGGAAGTGAAGGGCAGAAGGAAAGAAGGAACAGAGGACGAGCACACACACACACACACACGCACGCACGCACGCACGCACGCACGCACACACACACACACACACACACACACACACACACACACACACACACACACACCGCCAGCCAGCTTCGCTTTGCCTATTCCGACGTGTGCACCGCTGCATTTGTATGCATAGAGGGAGTACTACTGACACATGAGGAGGCCTGCTACCACTGCGTGTGCCTGAGATTGAGGGGCGGGGAAGGAACAGAGGAATCGAGCACACACACACACACACACACGCACACACACACACACACGCACACACACACACACGCACACACTGCCTGCCTCTCTATGCCTCTACAGACAACGACGCGTGCGCCGCTGCATCGACTGCATAAGCTCGTACCGAGGCATGCTAAGGCGTTCTGCTGCTTCTGCGTACCTGCGATCACCAGCGTGGGAGACAATATACAGGAATCACGCTCGCTGTGGGAACCCCCAAACACTACCCAAACAGCTTACCCCATACACACTTCCGTTGAAAGAAGTGGTAAGAGTGGGCAAAACTTACCCCGTTGGGGATGCCTGTGATGCTGTATTGCACCTCAAAGTGCCCGAACACCCACGAGGCTGGCTGATGGGTCTCTGCGACTGCAGGGAGCGTGATTATGAACACGAATGCCACTAGGATCTGGTGGAGCAAAGGGGGGGGAGCGGGAAGAAACAAGAGCGGGAAGAAACAGGGAGATGAGGCGAGGGCGGAAGAGGATTATGAGTGTGAATGCAACAGCAGGGAGAGTGATTATGACCACCAGTGCCACTAGGATATGGTGAATGAGGGGGGAGAGAAGAAACAGGGAGGGGGAAGAAACAGGGAGATGAGGCGAGGGCGGAAGAGGATTATGAGTGTGAATGCAACAGCAGGGAGAGTGATTATAACCACCAGTGCCACTAGGATTTGGTGAATGAGGGGGGAGAGAAGAAACAGGGAGGGGGAAGAAACAGGGAGATGAGGCGAGGGCGGAAGAGGATTATGAGTGTGAATGCAACAGCAGGGAGAGTGATTATAACCACCAGTGCCACTAGGATTTGGTGAATGAGGGGGGAGAGAAGAAACAGGGAGGGGGAAGAAACAGGGAGATGAGGCGAGGGCGGAAGAGGATTATGAGTGTGAATGCAACAGCAGGGAGAGTGATTATAACCACCAGTGCCACTAGGATTTGGTGAATGAGGGGGGAGAGAAGAAACAGGGAGGGGGAAGAAACAGGGAGATGAGGCGAGGGCGGAAGAGGATTATGAGTGTGAATGCAACAGCAGGGAGAGTGATTATAACCACCAGTGCCACTAGGATTTGGTGAATGAGGGGGGAGAGAAGAAACAGGGAGGGGAAGAAACAGGGAGATGAGGCGAGGGCGGAAGAGGATTATGAGTGTGAATGCAACAGCAGGGAGAGTGATTATAACCACCAGTGCCACTAGGATTTGGTGAATGAGGAGGGGAGAGAGAACACTTTCTCACCTGCAGCACTGTCCCAACTGCCAGCACTTGCCCCAGCCCAGCCCAGCCCAGACCACACTCTCGAGAATGAGAGCTGATGGGTTCATTGTCTTGCATACGTCATACCTGCACCACTCACTCACGCACCCTCTCTCACCCTCTATCTCTCACCCGCAGCACCGTCCCAACTGCCAACACTTGCCCCACCCCACGCTTGACAGGAAGCACGTTGATGGATGCACTCACGAGAGTGAGAGCCACACACGCTAGGAACTGTAGTCTGCCTGTATCTTGTTTTTTAGTCGACTCATAAACAGCCTGCATCTTGTGTGCCTCTCTCTCACTCTCACCTGCAGCACTGTCCCGACTGCCAGCACTTGCCCCACGCGCTTAATGGGAAGAACGTTGATGGCTGCACACACGAGGATGAGCCGTGGTGGGCCATTGTCATACATTCGTCACACCTGTACCACTCATGCACTCTCTCTCTCTCCCACACCCACGTGCAACACTCATGTACCCTCGCTCACCTGCAGCACTGTCCCCACGGCCAGCACTTGCCCCACGCGCTTAATGGGGAGAACGTTGATGGCTGCACACACGAGGATGAGCCGTGGTGGGCCATTGTCATACATTCGTCACACCTGTACCACTCATGCACTCTCTCTCTCTCCCACACCCACGTGCAACACTCCTGTACCCTCTCTCACCTGCAGCACTGTCCCCACGGCCAGCACTTGCCCCACGCGCTTAATGGGAAGAACGTTGATGGCTGCACACACGAGGATGAGCGCCACACACGCGAGGAACTGCAGGTAGTCTGGGAAGATATATCCGCCCCCGTTGGCACCGCCTGGGGGAAAAGCAGGTGGCATGAACAATACAGCACAGATGGGGATGAGGGAGAAAGAGTAAGAGCCACACACGCCAGGAACTGCAGGTAGTCTGGAAAGATGTATCTGCCCCCGTTGGCACCGCCTGGGGGAAAAACAGGTGGAATGAACAATACAGCACAGATGGGGATGAGAGAGAAAGAGTAAGAGCCACACACGCCAGGAACTGCAGGTAGTCTGGAAAGATGTATCCGCCCCCGTTGGCACCGCCTGGGGGAAAGGGGGATAGAGGAGTGGTGATGGGGGAAGACATGTGGCACAGGCACAGACCAGAATGAGAGCCACACAGGCTAGGAACTGCAGGTAGTCTGGGAAGTTGTAGCCGCCGCCGTTGGCGCAGCCTGGGGGAAAAGCTATGTTGATGTGACTTTTGAGAATTCTCAAAAGTCACATCAGCAAAGATAGGGATGAGGGAGAGAGGATGAGAGCCACACAGGTTAGAAACTTCAGGTAGTCTGGGAAGTTGTATCCGCCACCGTTGGCGCCGCCTGGGGGAACGGGAAAAGGAGGAAGGGGGAAGAAAAGGGGGAGGGGAGGGGGGGGGGGGAAGGGGTAAGACGACGCATCGCACAGGCCAGAATGAGCGCCACACAACTTTTCACTTTATCAGAGTGACATGATCTGCTGAATTCCCTCAAAGGCCACTCGCCCCACTCCCATCTGTAGAGAACCTCTACTAGAGAGCAACCTCCAACTGTAGCCGCCAGGAGCATTCCTCCTAATACGGAGCATCCATTTACCCACCCACCCACCCATAGCAAGAGTCATCTTTAACCCACGCACCTGTGGCGAGCAGCACGAGTGACATGATCTGCTGGATGCCCCCAAACGCCACTCCACCCACTCCTACCGACACTCCCACGAACTCCAGCCAGCCCTGGTGGAGGGAGAGGGTGAGAGTGTGGGGGAGGAGAGGGGAGTGCGAGAGTGAGTTAGAGGCGACTCCTGAGTCGAAAATAGAAGGCCCCAGAAGGCCACTCCCCCACACGACACAACACAACCACCCACAATGTGAACGAATCGTACTTCAATGACTGTTGGGAATCCTCAAGAGAGTATGTCCAGTCCAGCCAGAGCAGCACGTTCTCTAGTACTCAGTGATGCATGCTGCAAACGGGCCGTGCTTGAGTGAATGCTTAGAATTGTCAAAGGTCAGTCCAGCCAGATAAGCACGTTCTCTACTACTCACAGTGATCCATGCGGCAAATGGGCCGTACTTTGGGCCAGCGAGAGCAGCCGCCCAGAAATAGAGCGAGCCGGCTGTCTGCATAGGGTAATGGGGGAGGAGTGGAGAGGTGTTTTGCGCGGTTCCAAGAAGCAGCCGCCCAGAAATAGAGTGAGCCAGCTGTCTGTATAGGGTATGGAGGAGAGGCGGGGTGGAGGGGAGGATTGGAGAAGGGAGAGGAGCAAGGCAACGACAGGAGCATAGGCAAAGGCAGGACAAGGGAAAAACGTGGGAATGGAGGTGTGTGTGTGTGTGCGCGCGCGCACATGCGTGTGGGCGTTCATGTCATGCGTGTGTGTGTGTGTGTGTGTGTGTGTGTGTGTGTGTGTGTGTGTGTGTGCGTGCGTGTGTGCGTGTGAGTGTGAGTGTGAGTGTGAGTGTGTGTGTGTGTGTGTGCGTGTGCGTGTGTGTGCGTGCGTGCACCCATGTGTGTGTGGGAGGGAGAGCGTGTGGGAGTGAGCAGCTCACAGGGAAGGAGGATGCGATTTCAGCGAAGGAGAGGGCGAGCAGGTGGGCGAAGAAGGCAGTGATCCACCAGAACCACACGCAGCACACCGGACCGCCGTTCAGATAAGCAGTCCTGGATACATGGTGAATGGTGCGCATGATAGGCCCAACCCACGGTCCCACGAGGTGGATGGGGAGAGAAAACGAGAGGAGAGGAGTGAGGGCGGAGCACTTCCTACAGGTTAGACGCAGTAAGTCAAGAAGGCAAGGCAGATGTTTGTGTGTGGGGAATGCTCCTCAAGCCAAGCAGGTGGTGATCACTCAGACCACAAGCAGCATACAGCCATCCATCATCCACCCTCTTTCCCCCCCCCGCAAAAATCCATCACCCCACCCATTCCACCCATTCCACCCATTCCCCGACCCCATGCAACCACCCATGCATGCAACCACAAACTATTAAGCATACATGAATGCATGCACATGATGTTACCCAGAGTAAAGAACCCCAACATGTCCACGCACCCACCATGCACGCAGCCATGCATGTTCCAGCACACGCGAGCGAATGCACGTACCCGGAAGACGAAATCCCCCTAAGCATGCGCATGCGCCCATTCATGATAAATCCATATATGCATGTGACGTACCCATAGTAGGGGATCCCAAGGAACATGCCAACGCCACAGAACGCCACCGAGAACAGCTCGAACGAATTCTGCAGCGACGAGAGAAAGAAGGGGTTACATTGTTACAACAATGACTTTCGAGATTGTTGGGCTCAAAACAATTCCCAATCCCAGCTATACAAATGGTGGAATTTTAATGTAGATACCGTCACCACCGCAAACGACACTTTGAACGATTGAGCAATTTCAAGTCACTTCAACAGCGCACTTCGGATAGAACAGCTCAAGAGGGTTCTGCAGCGATACAATCGAAAAAAACAATCAATCTGGAATTTGAGACGCCTCAAAATTTGACATCTAAAATCTCACAACCCGGGGCAGTGGCTGCGAAACGGAAAGAGGGACGTGTTAGTATGAAGCGTACAGACTTTAAACGACAACGACATCAGAGCTTTGACGCGTACAAACGAAACGATAAGGGGCACTAAAATCGAGGAAGTGGCAAACACGAGAACCAGGACAATCAGGCTGGTGACATCACTTTCAAAACGGACAAGAATCAGGAGAACTTGTAGTGTACCCGTTATAGAGTCTCACCATGGACCGCTGCAAGTCCTGCGTGTATCCAAGCTCCATTAACCGTTTCTCTCCGGAATCAAGCTCCAACGTAAACAGCACCCCATCATCTAACATAATTTCCATAGTCTTCGCTTTCCCCTCGCCGGCCTCTCCGCCTTCTCCGCCTTCCGCTCCGCCAACGTGGATTCCCCCGTCTTCTTTCACCAGCGCAACCACCGCAGCGCCCTCGAACGCGCAGCCTTCGCGGAAAAGCTCGTCTTCCTCTGACTGCACGATTGCCGATTCCGTCGCCGTCGCCATAGTACTAACACTTTTATCTGTCTAAGCGGAAAGTCTTACAGCTATTTTGGAGTGAATACTCAATATGATGCTTTACGGAGTTTTTTAAGAAGGGAAAAAAAAACGCGGCTGCTATAAATAAGAGTGGAAGGAATGGCGTCGCGTTAGCGCCTCGAGGCGTACTGGCAGAATGTTTTTTTCGCGTGGCTCCCGAGGTGAATTTTGAGTCGACAGCGACGAACTGAAAGAAAAAGGTTGTGAGCTCCTAATGATATCTGCATGCGACAATGCGTCCAAGCAGCTCTAAATACTACGGCGCTCCCGAGAAGAATGGTGAGTTTCGCGACGCCGGAAAACAAGAACGGGATTTTCGAGGCGCGCGGTCAGAAGCGACGGGTGTCGTCGCTAAATTAAGTTAGATCGTAGCAAGGGCGGCTGCATTGCTCAGGACGAAAAAGACGGGTCAGCTCGGTTCAATAATAATAATCTTAGCATCCGTGACGTCGGACTGTAAATGAAGCACTCACGGTTGAGAAGCAATTGCAATGAGCGATGTATTTCCTTGGGGGAAATATTGCTTCAATCAGGCTGGGACCCTGAAGCTCGTAGCTAGCGCTGCGCGGCAGAGTTTCTTGGCAAAACGATCATGGAAGCGAAGGGAAGTTTTCGCTGAGCAAGTGGTGTGCTGGAGTATGTCTGACACAGTTGCAGAGCAACTAGAAACGGAAAGCCCCCAGACCAGACCAGACGGCTGCACTTCGAAAGATTCGGTAGGTTCCTGCAATTAGGGCGTATCTTAGATATCATCTTCGGTCAAGAAGAACCTACCGAACCGTTTTAAAAAGTAGGAGGAACTTTGTAGAACACACAGCACCGCACTGGTTCGCAGAATGATGGCAGTCGTGAAAACTGCTAGTTGCGGGGTTTGGTGTTTCTAAAACGGTACAGACTGTCATAGATCGGTGCAGCGCGCTGGAGAGGGCTAGTACGCCCATGTACCCTCGGTGAGGTGTCACCCACTCACAACCGCTCCAACCGTACGATGGAGGGGAGGGAGCACGTATTTCATTTCTTTATTTCAGTCAACCTTGGCCATCTTTTGAACGCGCACACCTAGAGAGTGTCCCCTAGAGAACACGGGTGGCAGCGGAGGCTTATTTAGCCTTGTAGGGTTTCCGCTCATGAAAAAATCTCTCCACAGAGTGCCGAATAGTTCTAGCGCTTACTACCATCTAAAAAAATGCCCATGCTGAGCAGCATCCTGTGTTTCAAAAACACCCTCTCGTGGTGTTGAGGACTTCGATTTTCAAGTGCCGAGCACATAGAACCGGATCAGTGGAATCATGACCGGATTATGGAACAGATTGTGGTTATAACGAGCCTTTTACAGCAGGAAATATTTCATGTAGTACCCTTGGAACATGCTCTAGCCATGTGTACCCTAGTCTCTCCTGGTCAGGATGGAAAACATGCTGAATAGGTGTGGCCTGGTTGGGGGGGAAAGGGGGGGAAGGTGGGGAGGTAGGTTGGGACTGTCACTCCACTCTATTTTCATTACCCGTTGTGCAGTTCGGTTCTTTGCGGCAACGCAATTTTGTTTGACAGTGGTCTTGGGTGTGGCCTTTTCCATTTGTAAAATCACAACTTGACCAAACACAGAACCATTAAAATTTACGTAGGTTTCAAGCTTTTTTCTATTTCACGATAATGGTTTCACCTCTCTCCAACAACGCGTTCAAACGAGGCAGTCACCACTACCACTTGAAAGCTTGTTCCCTAGCCTAGCAAGCCAGACACGTGTCAATTATGGCGAACCTGACGGCCGCTCCCCCCGCACTTCCGTCAACCCTCCACGTGGCGTCAGCTCATTCGCCTAATGTGGTTACATCACGAGCATGCGCGATTACCGTGTTACCATTCGCCTCTCATTGCGCATCCACCACATTTTCTAGAGCGCACCTCATAACCTCCCGAAACTTCCCGCTGATTTCTTCACGAGCCCCGCATTTTCCGCGACTCGCCTCAAGACCCGAGCGTAGCCCAGCTGGTTTCGTTACCCGCGCTTCGGGGGAGAGTTCGGCGGGACGCGATTCCGAATCCTCAAGAATAGTGAGCGAGGGGGGGGATCAGGCGGAGGAGGAGGAAGAGGAGGATGAGGAACCGGAGCTGGAAAAATGTCATTTCGGCGGGGAGGAGTTGGAGCGGTTCGTGAAAGTCAACGAGGGCCAGTGGCGTGGCGCGTTTCTGGTGAGTCTAACTCACTGATGCCGGTCAATACGACAAACATAGCAAGGACAGCAGGGCCACGACGTTTTGATTTTTATTGTAACAATCAAAAAAAAAAAATCAAAAAAAAAAAAAAAAAAAATCTTGAGCGTTTGAGGGCAACGGCTGGCAGGGCACAAAGGATGTAACCTTGAGAGGTGATCCCAAGGTCCTGTTTCATACTGTTTCAAAACCTTCAGCCACGTCGACTGTCAGGTTCAAGGTTCAGGTTCGGGCGGGGTTTAGGTTTGGGGTTTCAGCCTCGGGTTTCGGGTTTGGTTCGGGCATCGTAGTTCTTGCCCCCTTGTGCCTCTCCTGTCTCTTATTGCTCCTTGGTCCCCTCCATCCCCTCCTCCCTCACTCCCCCCTCCCCCCCCTGGGCCCCCTCCCAGCACTATGATCTGAACGGCTGCGACCCGCCTGCTTCACAGAGTGCCCACCCACCTCCCTGCTCGTCTCGTCCCCTCTGCCTTCCCCACTAGCCTCACTCCCCTCCCCACATTGCTTTCTCCTTCCCCCCCTTGCTCCCCCGCCCCCTTCCTTCCCTCCTTCTCCTGTATCAGCACTACCGTCTGAACGGCCGCCTGCTACATGCGCTCTATCCCCCTCCACCCCCCTCCCCCCCCTGCACCCCCTTCCCCCCCCCTCCACCCCGTCCACCCCCTCCACTCCCCTGCACCCCCTCCGCACCAGCACTGCCATCTGAACGGCCGCCTGCTACACAGACTGCCCACCCGCCTGCCACATACTCTCCCTCTGCTCGTCCCTGCCTTTCTCTGCTCAATTCCCCATCTTCCTTTCCCACTCTCTCCCCTCCCCCCAACCCCCGCTTCTCCCCTTCCTCACCAGCACTACGATCTGAACGGCCGCTTGCTACACAGAGTGCACCCGTCTCTCTTCTCGTCCCCGTTGCCTTACCCCCCACGTCTTTCCCCCCACGTCTCTCTGCTCGTCCCCCTTGCCTTACCCCCCACGTCTTTCCCCCCACGTCTCTCTGCTCGTCCCCCTTGCCTTACCCCCCACGTCTTTCCCCCCACGTCTCTCTGCTCGTCCCCCTTGCCTTACCCCCCACGTCTTTCCCCCCACGTCTCTCTGCTCGTCCCCCTTGCCTTACCCCCCACGTCTTTCCCCCCACATCTCTCTGCTCGTCCCCCTTGCCTTACCCCCCACGTCTTTCCCCCCACGTCTCTCTGCTCGTCCCCCTTGCCTTACCCCCCACGTCTTTCCCCCCACGTCTCTCTGCTCGTCCCCCTTGCCTTACCCCCCACGTCTTTCCCCCCACGTCTCTCTGCTCGTCCCCCTTGCCTTACCCCCCACGTCTTTCCCCCCACGTCTCTCTGCTCGTCCCCCTTGCCTTACCCCCCACGTCTTTCCCCCCACGTCTCTCTGCTCGTCCCCCTTGCCTTACCCCCCACGTCTTTCCCCCCACGTCTCTCTGCTCGTCCCCCTTGCCTTACCCCCCACGTCTTTCCCCCCACGTCTCTCTGCTCGTCCCCCTTGCCTTACCCCCCACGTCTTTCCCCCCACGTCTCTCTGCTCGTCCCCCTTGCCTTACCCCCCACGTCTTTCCCCCCACGTCTCTCTGCTCGTCCCCCTTGCCTTACCCCCCACGTCTTTCCCCCCACGTCTCTCTGCTCGTCCCCCTTGCCTTACCCCCCACGTCTTTCCCCCCACGTCTCTCTGCTCGTCCCCCTTGCCTTACCCCCCACGTCTTTCCCCCCACGTCTCTCTGCTCGTCCCCCTTGCCTTACCCCCCACGTCTTTCCCCCCACGTCTCTCTGCTTGTCCCCCTTGCCTTACCCCCCACGTCTTTCTCCACATCCGCTCTCCCCCGGCCCTACCCCCACCAGCACGACCATCTGAACGGCCGCTTGCTACATACACAGAGTGCCCACGCGCCTCAATCACTACTTCATTGCCATTTTGGGCTTGGGCTTGCCTTTTCCACACATCCCCTCCACCCCCTCCCTACCAGCACTACGATCTGAACGGCCGCTTGCTGCACAGAGCGCCCACGCGCCTCAATCACTACTTCAATGCCTTTTTCAGCTTGCCTTTTCCGCACATCCCCTCCCTCCACCTTCCTCCACCCCCAGCACTATGATCTGAATGGCCGCTTGCTACACAGAGTGCCCACCCATCTCTCTGCTACAGCCTCTGGGCAGGGCGAGAACAGCTCCCTGCTACAGACGTGAGTCTCTGCTACAGCCTCTAAACATAGGAATATTTACATCTTGTTTTAGTAGTAAGATTTAGGGGAGGGGAAAAACATTCCCTTTGTTCTTTGTTCCGCCTCTCCACTCCTCTCCACCTCTCTCGATTCCTCCACACCTCTCAGCCCTCGTTGCCACCTCTCACTCTTCCCCTCCTCTCCTCTCACTTCCGGCCAAGTATGGGGCATTGGCAATATCGCTCCAGGAATGTTCAAGTATGATAATTCTCATAACAATCCCTGTATGTGGCAATATCGCTCAGAAAGACTCCTAGCAATCCTCTTCCCCTCTGCTCCTTGTTCGTTTCCCCCCTTGCTCACTCCTCCCCTCCCCTCTTCTCACCGTTCCTCCCATTTCCCTTCCACCCTTCTCACCTCTCCCCAACAGGTTAAGTGTGAAGCAAGCATGCACAAATGGGAAGGAGGAGGGAGAGGAGGAGTGGGTGGACATTAAACTAGAGGAGGTCAACCGGATCACAGCAGCCAATCGCCTTCAGGCACGTGGCAGATGAGTTTCCTGTTGTCAGAGATTCAATGTGATAACTTGTGATACTTAGTCGGCTTGACTCTCTTGACTTTGGAGAATGCATGGGGGTGTTGACTCTCTTGACTTTGGAGAATGCATGGGGGTGTTGACTCTCTTGACTTTGGAGAATGCATGGGGGTGTTGACTCTCTTGACTTCTGAGAATGCATGGGAGTCTTGACTCTCTCGACTTGTTATGATGTGGCACGAAGGACGTTACACCTCTGCTCATTCTTCCAACCCCCACTGTCCCTACATTCCCATCCAGGTAGCCATGTTCCCTGACCACAGCATACTCACTAAGCCGCCAGACAGCAGAGGTGCTGGTGAGGGCGCTCACATGCCCCCATTTTTTCTCATTTCCAATCCCATCTCTCTGGCTCCCCTGTCCTCTGTATGCAATGCAGGTCGCCTGGTTCCCTGAGCACAGCTGCTCGTGAGGGCGCTTGCAGTGGGGGTGGTGGGAGCAGAGGCAGCAGATGCCGACGAAGCAGCAGAGGTCATCGGAGGGGTGAAGCTGCCGTCCCACTCTCGTTCACTCCTGCACTCCTCACTCCTCACTCTTCACTCCTCTCTCATTCTAACTGTCATCCCCTCCCATCACAGGTCGCCTGGTTCCCTGACCATAGGGCATACGCTCTAAGTCACCAAACCGCAGAGGACTTTGTGAGGGCGCTTGCAGTGGGGGTGGTGGGAGCAGAGACAGCAGATGCCGACAAGACAGCAGAGGTCATCGGAGGGGTGAAGCTGCCGTCCTGTCCCACTCTCGTTCACTCCCCACTCTTTCACTCCTCACTCCTCCCTCTCCTCTCTTTTCCCAACTTCTCTCTTTCTCTTTTCATGCAAATTGACTGCCATCCCCTCCCCTCCAGGTCGCCTGGTTCCCTGACCATAGGGCATACGCTCTAAGTCACCAAACCGCAGAGGACTTTGTGAGGGCGCTTGCAGTGGGGGTGGTGGGAGCAGAGACAGCAGATGATGACCCTTTCTCTTTCGCTCTTTCCCCCATCCCTTCCATTGCAGGTCGCCTGGTTCCCGGACCACAGGGCATACGCACTCAGCCACCAGACAGTAGAGGACCTTGTGAGGGCGCTGGCAGTGGGGGTGGTGGGAGCAGAGACAGCAGATGCCGACGAAGCAGCAGAGGTTATTGGAGGGGTGAAGCTGCCGTCCCGCCGCCCGGCTCTCGTCAGCGAAACATGCCTCTATCTCTCCGAACCAGTTTCCGAAGCAGGTTCCGAACCAGGTTCCGAACCTCCGTCTGAAGCAAGCTCAGAAGCGGATAGAAATTGGGGGAATCGGAGGGTGCGTGCATTCCATGTGCTGGATTCAAAGGGGATGATTGACACACTTGGTGTGTTTGTGGAGGAGAGGGAAGGCAGTGGGAAAGGAGCGGGCGAAGATGGTCCAGGGGCAACAGCAGCCCATGCCAAAGAGCTTCTGGAGGTGAGACTAGGGAAAAGTAATGGGTGCGTGCATTCCATGTGCTGGATTCGAAGGGGATGATCGACACTCGTGGGAGTGTTTGTGGAGGAGAGGGAAGCAGCGGGTGAAGCTGGTCCTGGCGCGACCCCACCCCATGCCAGAGAGCTTTTGGAGGTGAGTCAGGGAAAGGGGAGACATTGCGATCCTTCCTTCCATGTGTTGGATTCAAAGGGGATGATCGACACTCTGGGGGTGTTTGTGGAGGAGCGGGAGGGCAGCGGAGAAGGAACAAGTGAAGAAGGCACATGGGCACATGCAAAAGGGTTGATGGCGGTGAGTCAATGAATGAAAGAGGAAGAGGTGGGGTGCGCACGTTCTATGTGTTGGATTCAAGGGGATGATCGACACTCTGGGGGTGTTGGTGGAGGAGCGGGAAAGAAGTGGAGAAGGAGCGGGTCAAGATAGTCAAGGTGGTCAAGACTTGTCAGGCCATGCCAAAGAGTTACTGGAGGTGAGTCAATCGAGGACGTAGAGATAGTTTTGGCACTTCAGTTCCTCTCCATCCCTCAGTATTCCTCTCCATCCCTCTCCATCCCTCTCCAACCCTGTCATCCCTCTCCATCCCTCTCCAACCCTGTCATCCCTCTCCATCCCTCTCCATCCCTCATCGTCTTTCATCATCCCTCTCCATCCCTCATCATCTCTCATCATGCCTTCCTTCCCCCCTTCTCCCTTTCCCTCCCCTCTCGCCAAGCGCAAGCAACCAGATCTCCCCAACGCCCCAGTCCCCCTTTCCCGCCTGGCGCTACTGCTGGGCGAATGGAATGGCTCCTCCACCACCCCACCGACCAACCATCCACCATCCCTTCCTTCCCCTCACCTCCCTTCTCCCCCCTTTCCCCAGGCGCAACCAGAACCCCCCAGTGGCCTGATCCTCCCCTCCCGCCTGGCGCTACTGCTGGGCGAATGGAATGGCTCCTCCACCACCCCACCGACCAACCATCCATCCACCATCCCGTGCTTCCTCCCTTTCCCCCTGTCTCCAGCGCACCATTACCTTGAATCAGTCACACATGGTGCAGCAGGACCTTAAGCGCTTCGGCTGCACGTACTCCTCACCACAGTCCACTCCTCTGCTTACCGATAACTCACTCTCAGCTCCACCTTCGGACGAGTCCGTAGAGCCGAGTGGCCCGTACCTAGAGCTTGTGGGCTGTCTCATGTACCTGATGAATTGCACATGACCTGACCTCGCATACCCTCTCTGCCTTCTGGCTCGCTACGTTGCTCCCGGCAGGCACCAAAAGGTGCACTGGGATGCTGCGAAGAGGGTGTTGCGCTACTTGTGCAGTACATCGGGCATGGGGCTCGTGCTTGGAGGACGGGCTCGAGTTGTCCTCACTGGTCACGCTCACGCCTCCTGGGTTGACGACTTGGCTACGCAGCGGTCGTCACAGGGCTACACCTTCAGTCTTGGCTCCGGTTCTGTCTCTTGGCGGTCTACCCGCTCTTCTTCTGTTCTCAGCTCCAGTTGTGAGGCTGAGATCTACGCTGGGGCCATGGCTGCACAGGAGCTACGCTGGCTCACCTACCTGCTGACCGACTTGGGAGAGGCGCCTCGTTCTCCTCCAGTTCCGTACGTCGACAACAAGGCCATGCTTGCCTTGTGTCAAGAGCACAGACTGGAGCACAGAACGAAGCACATTGCTCTGCGCTACTTCCTTGCTCAAGAGTTGCAGCAGCGTGGCCAGCTTCGTCTTGCTTACGTGGCCTCTCAGGCCAACACTCCTGATGTTTTTACCAAGGCACTTCAGCCTTGTGATCATCAGCGTTTCTGTACTGTGTTAGGTCTTGTACCTCCTGTGCATCACTTGCTTACTTCTTGACTCTGCTTGTACTGTACTCTTTATACATATACCTGCATGCTTAGACTTGCTAGGTTGTGTTCACTGTATTGTTTATTCTCCTTTATATAACTCTGCATGTGAACTGGCCTTGTGGCCATTTGCTTGTGCTCAGACTGCGTGGTGACTTTGTGATCCACCCTGAGCTTGATTTGCTTTTATTGACTGGTCTTGTGACCTCTTGTTCTCCCCCACTTTGCCTATGGGGGTGTGTCAAGGACTGGGCCCCCAAAGGGGTCAGCCAGGGAGACTGCGATAGGCCGACTGAGCGGCGTGAGTATGGTGCTGTGTTTAAAGAAAGAGCGCGAAGCACCAGAGTCAAGTGTGAAAGTGTGCAAGGCCTCAGTAGGTGCAGTACCAGAGAAAGCAGACTCACCAGCACCTGGAGCAGCAGACTCACCAGTACCTGGAGCAGCAGACTCACCAGTACCTGGAGCAGCAGACACACTAGCACCTAGAGCAGCAGCCTCAATGCCCGGGTCGGGTGGGACACTCAGGTAACAGTCACCCTCAGCACTATCAGTCAAAGCATACATGGCAGCAAGGATATCATCGAAATCAAGATCAAAGATAGCAACATTCTGCCTAAGCAGATCACCCCAGCGAGGGAGCTCAACAGCGTCAGGAAACTGGGCGCGCCAGGCGTCAGTAAGGCGACCGAAGCAGCGCTGTGCAGTGTGTGGCAGCCCGCACGTCTCCCCACGGCGCCCGCCGGTGCGAAGAACGTAAGTGCAGGGACCAGCACCCTCAGACCTCCCACGCCCAGCGTACCACTCACGAAGCTGCTGGACCGACGGGGTCTCACAGGAACGCAGCTGCTGCTGGCGCTGGCCACCACCAAAGCCTCCACGCTGCGCGGCTGCACCTCGACCAGCACCACCGCCGCCGCCACCTCCACCACCGCTGCCACTGCCTCCACCACCGCTGCCGCTGCCTCCACCACCTCCGACACTGCCTCCACCACCTCCACTGCCGCCACCGAAGCCCCCACTCCTGGCACCTCCCCCACCTCCACCGCCACCCCCTCCGCCTCCTCCACCGCCTCCGCCGCCGCCCCCGCCATCCCCTCCACCACCCTTGCTCCCCTTGCCCTTGCTGTTGTGGCGCCTCCCACTAGGAGCAGATGCAGCCCCGACCTCCTCAGTGCCAACGAGGTCGACAGCAGCAGCAGAAGCAACAGAGGGGAGAAGGGGGACAGGGGAACACCCCTCAAAGAAAGGGGTGCGACGGTCGCCGCGAGAAGCACCTACAGCTAAGATACTCTTCTCAGCTGCAGCGAGGCGCTCCTCTAGTAGGTCGACAGTCAGCTCGGTGGGGCAAAGGGAGAGAAAGTGGTCCCTGACTGAAGCAAGGGAGTCAGGGAGGCGGGTGACTAGGTAGTAAAGGGTGATGTACATGGGGGGGGGGTTCTTTGCACAGAACTCAGTGGGAAGGGCATCGCGGTAGCGGGCGTCACTAGTGCGGAGGTGAGTAATGAGGTCAGCAACTGTGGCAAGTGCGGCAAGGTCAGGGAAAAGGTACGGCAGCATGAGGCGGCTGAGGGCAGCAGTGGCAGGGGAGGAGTAGCGCGCAACTACAGCGTCGTACAAAGACTGAGCAGTCTTATACTAGCCAAAATGCGCGCGCTCAGCAGGTGGCAGGTGACTACGAACAGCAAGACGAGCAGCAGCGTCTCGAGTGGTCCACTGCGAGCGAACCGTACTGTCAGCAGTGGCAGCAGGAGCAGTAGAGACACCGGAAGTGTGATCGAAAAGGGATACCCCATCCCTAGAGTCACACTGAAGAAAGAGCTGTAGGTCGTCAACCCACACGTCAAAGTCAACTGCACGCCCCTCAGCATCAAAGGTGAGAACAGTAGGGCTAGCCATAGTAGTAGTAGCAGCAGTAGTAGCAGAAGCATCAGTGGCAGCAGAAGCAGAGCAGGCAAAAGGGCAGTGTGGCACGGCTCGGCAGGGCAGCGCGGCTCGGTAGGCGCGGCGCGGCTCGGCTGGGCGGCGCGGCTCGACAGAGCGGCACGGCTCGGTGGGCGGCGCGGCTCGGCTGGGCGGCGCGGCGCAGCAGGGGGTTGGGCGCGGGGCTTACCAGGGGCGCGGCAGTAGGGGCCGCGTCAGCAGAGGGGCCGCGACAGCAGAGGGGCCGCGGCAGCAGAGGGGCCGCTTCAGCAGAGGGGCCGCTTCAGTAGAAGGGCCGCTTTAGCAGAGGGGCCGCGACAGCAGGGGGGGGGGCTCTTCAGCACAGGGGCCGCGACAGCAGGGGGGCCGCGACTGCAGAGGCCGCGACAGCAGGGGCAGTGATGGCAGGGGCCGCGACAGCAGGGCAGGGGCAGGCGCGAAGCGCGCTGCGGTTAGGGCAGGAAAATAAATGTTCCTAGTTCGGTGGGCCCTAAAAAAAATGTTCCCACAGGGGAACTTGCTCAGAATACCATGTCAAGAATCAACAGAAGGAATGGATGAACTAGGCAAGAGGTGGGTACAAGTATGAAAACCTAAAAAGTGTTGTACCCTGTATTGACTACCCCACTACAGCCTAGATGGACTATAGCAGATATGTTTGGCACCTATACCACCCGAGGTCTACGCCAACCTTGCACATACCTTGGAAGGTCCCAACACGTGGTACCTCGACAGTTGTTGCGGCCAGCATATGTGTTCCTCGGAAACTCGTTTCGTCATCAACCAGCGTCGTCTTCAGAATCCCTGCGTCGTCACCGTCGCCAACAATCAACGTCTTTCAGCCCATTGGATGGGTAACATCGTTCTTGATTCCGTTGAAGAAGACTTCAGTCTTCATCTTAACGACGTGCTTCTCGTTCCTCGCCTTGGCTTCAATCTGATGTCATCTGCACAGCTTATGCGAAATGGGATTACTCTTCTTGGCGAACCTGGAAAGTTTACCTTGAAATACGGAGACAGGAAACTCGGCACGGCAGTCGAACAAAACGTTGTATTTCCGAAAAAAATCTCTCTCTCAGCCCATGGGAGCATCGCGATGACATTGATTACACCGACGATACCGTTCCACGTGCGGGTATCGTACCCACGTCGTCAACCACGGCTGCCACTGTCATGCTGACCTTTGACAACCAAGGCCTGAATGACGTACAGACCTCCCGGGACTACCTTGCTCACGTTGGCGGTTGGGGAGATCCAACGAACATGCCCACGAGTGAAGGCGTCTGGGGGGCAGAAGAACCCGACGAGACTACTTGGGGGGAAACACCCGCTGATCGCGATCGACGTCTTCTGACTGAAGCCGAGCAGCGCGTCGCTGACATGGAAGTCCTCGACTCCGGTCGTCTTGTCGGTGTTGAGCCTAGACCTGCTGCATCAGATCAAGAAAGCGGGGAGTTAGTTCTCGAACCTGGCGAATACGTCGACGTTGAAGTAAGAATTCCACCACCTAATCTTACCAGGTTCATCCCGCCCGTCACAGACCATATCCGTGCAGACGGTCATCGGCTGCTGTTATCTTTCTTCGATAACGCCGATTATTATATGCGCGCACAGGGACACAAAGCTACTGCAGAAACATGGCGTAAGCGTCTTGGTCATCCGTCGCAGTCTACACTCAACAATACGATCAAAGTCGCTGTTCTCGACAAAAAATCGCTTCTCTTACCTGGCGGCCTCGAAATGAAACCGGTCAATCGTCCGTCACCCTGCTTAATCTGCCCAGCAGCAAATCTACCGCACGAGCCGTACCCGTCTCATTTTCCTGGCGCTGAAGATTATCGCTTGATGGAAAAAGTCTACAGCGATATTCTCAACTTACCTGCGGAGGGTTTCAACGGCGAGAAATATGTCATCACGTTTACTGAAGCCTCTACTCGATACGTCTGGACTAGTAACATGACTAACCGTTTTCTTGCCTTCACAGCGTTTCGAACATGGCTGCCTCTCGCAGAACGTGAATCCGACACCACACTGAAGTCCTTCCAGTGTGACGGAGCCGGGGAGTATCGGAGTCTCGAGTTTACGACCTATTTGCAAGACAGAGGCATACGGCGCCTCTTCTCGCTTCCTCACGCTCACCAACAGAGCGGCGTAGCAGAACGACTCAATCGGACTCTCCAAGAAAAGATGCGAGCTCTGCTCGCCCAATCTCAGCTTGGCCCGCTATACTGGCCCTTCGCGATGGACCATGCAACATTGTTGCAAAACCCTCTGTCTTCCTCGGCTCTACCCAACAACGCATCACCCCACTTGCTGTGGACGGGCAAGTTGGGTACTACAAAACTTCTTCGAGTTTTTGGGTGTGTTGTGCAATACCGTCCTCCTACCGCTCCGCTCGGAAAATTCGATCAACGTGCTAAGTGGGGCCTTCATCTCGGCCTCGAGAAACAGTTTTCTGCCTGGCGTATCATGGATTATCGCAGTCGCCTCCTGGTTCCTGCCCGTGACTGTATTGTGAAGAAAGGAAACTCAAGCATTAACTTGATTAGTGAATAGCAAGCATACATAGCTTTGGGAAGAGAAGGTTGGAAGGGAAAGTGTCAGAGGTCCACTGGTGATCCTCGATTGATCCTAGGGAAGGGTTACAGGCTCGTTGGCCTGGGGGGTTATGGGCGCACTCACCCGCTACTTAACAAGCCCTTTTATCCCAATGGTCTAGTGGTTGGGATTCTTACAGAAAGGAGGGAGGTGGGAATGGGGGAGTGGGCCAACCTATGGCCCATTGGGTTGGGTTGGCCACACTTGGGGGAGTGGGCCAACCTATGGCCCATTGGGTTGGGTTGGCCTCACTTTGTGAGAGTGGGCCAACCTATGGCCCATTGGGTTGGGTTGGCCCTCACTTTGTGAGAGTGGGCCAACCTATGGCCCAATGGGTTGCATTTGGGGGCTCCACCACAATTGGGTTGGATTGGCACCCCAAAATGCAAGACTACACCCAAAGTTGGGTGTAGTCCCAACCCAACTGTACACCACAATTGGTGTACAGTCACAAGTGTTAGCATGCTAGAATATGGCATTTCTAACACAACCCCTTAGCAGGCTAACACAGGAAGGGAGCAACCCCTGAATCAGGGGGCGCCCGGGCGAGCAAGACCGATGAGACGGAGGAGAGCAGAGTGCGCAGGGCGAAGGAGAGCCTTGGTGAAGATGTCGGCCAAGTTGGCCTCAGCAGCAATCTTGCGGACAGCAAGAAGGCCGCGCTGGACGAGCCCGCGGATGAAGAAGTAGCGGAGTTCGATGTGCTTGGAGCGGGCGTGGTAGACAGGGTCCTGAGTGAGGTGGATGGTGGTGGCGTTGTCACACCAGAGGGTGGGGCAGGGCTGAGGGGCGCCAAGCTCAGCAAGAAGAAAGCAGAGCCAGCGGGACTCCTGGGCGGCCATGGTGCCAGCGTAGAGCTCAGCCTCGCAGGAGGAGAGGGAAACAGAGGAGGAGCGTGTGGAGCGCCAGCTAACAAGGCCGCTGCCGAGGGTGAAGCCGTAGCCTTGAGAGGAGCGGCGGTCAGGCTGCGAGTCGGCCCAGGAGGAGTCGCTAAAGCCCGAAAGGAGGGGAGGGGAGGAGCCACCAAGAGTGAGAGCGTGGTCTTTGGTGCCGCGAAGGTAGCGGAGGACCCGCTTAGCAGCTTTCCAGTGCACCTCGGTGTGGCGACCAGGGCCAACAAAGCGAGCAAGCACGCTGATGGGGTAGGCGAGGTCGGGACGGGTGCACATCATAGCGTACATCAGCGACCCAACGAGCTCAGCATAAGGGTGAGAGGAGGAGGAGGGCGAGGTGGGTGGAGCAAGCTGGTGGCCGAAAGGGAGGGGGGTGGCTATGGGTCTGGCCTGATTCATCTCGAATTTCTTCAAGATCTGGCCGATGTAATGAGACTGGGAGAGGGTGATGGTGCGAGCGGGACGGTCGCGAGTGATAGCCATGCCAAGGTAGTGGGTGAGGTCGCCCAGGTCCTTGCACTTGAGGCGCTGCTGCAGCTGCTGCTTCATCTGCTCCATGTCAGTCTTGGAGTCAGTGAGCAGGATCATGTCATCCACATACACCAGAATGAAGAAGCGGCGAGGGGAGGAGCGAAGGAAGAGACTGGCGTCAGAATGCGAGGCAGAGAAGCAAGGGATCCCAGGGTGGCAGACAGCTTCGCATGCCACTCCCGAGGTGCCTGCTTCAGGCCGTAGACAGGTCGACGTAGCTGCCACACAGTGTTTTCAGGAAAGGCGGCGTGGAACCCGGGGGGTCGCCAGAGGAAGATGCGCTCGTGCAGGTCCCCTTGCAGGAACGCATTGGAGACGTCCATGGAACAAATCTCCATGTCGTCACGCGCACCAACGTCGAGGAGGGTGCGGAGGGTGGGTGGCTTGGCGGTGGGGGCGTAGGTGAACCAGTAATCTTCAGCCCAAGTCTGGGTGAACCCCTTAGCGCAATAGCGGGCTTTGTAGACCGGATCCTCGCCTGGCAGCTGCTTCACCCGAAAGACCCACTTGCCCTCGACAAGGTTGGCATCGGCCGGGAGGGGGACATCAACGAAGGAGTTGTTGCGAATGAAGGCCTCACACTCCAGGAAGATAGCCGCAATCCACCTGTCCGCATCAGGGCAGGCGATGGCCTCTTTAAAGGTGGAGGGAGTGAAGATGGTGGGGGTGGAGGTGGCGCCAAGGACGGGAAGGCCAAGGAAGTCATGAAAGATGGAGGCAAGGAAAGGAGTGTGGTGCCGAATGGTGAGGAACTCCTTGTGGGAGTCCTCAAGGAGCTGAATGGAGGCAGGAAGAGGGGCTCCAAAGACTTTGTCAAGGGAGCGAGTGTGCATGCGAGGGAGGAGAAAAGGGGGGGAGGGGGAAGTTGCTCGGTGGCGCTGCTGCTGCTGCTGCTGCTGGACCTGCTTCTGCTGCTGCTGCTGCTGCTGCCCCTGCGGCGGAGTCGGCTGCTGCCGCTGCTGCTGCTGACCCGGCTGCCGCTGCTGCTGCTGCTGCGGACCCGGCTGCTGCTGCTGCTGCCCCGGCGGCTGCTGCTGCTACTGCTGTCCCTGCTGCTGTTGCTGCTGCTGCTGCTGCTGCTGCTGCTGGCTCTGCTGCTGTCCCGGCTGCGGCTGCTGCTGCTGCTGTTGCTGCTGCTGGCCCGGCCGTTGTAGAGAAGGGGGGGAGTGAGAGGAGGAGGGAGAGGGGGGAGGGGGTGCAGCGGAGTGGGCCGGGGAGGCGGGTGCGGCGGGGTCATAGACGTCAGCAGAGGAGGACGGAGGGAGTGGAGCGGCAACGGGGGGGAGGAGAGGAGAGGGAGGGAGGAGAGGTGGGAGGACAGTGTCAGTCCAGGCACGGGAGCCTGGGCCTGGTGAGTCAAATGACTTTTGAGTCGACTCAAAACTCAAAAGTCACCCAGTTTAGTGACGGGAGCCTGGGCCTGGTGAGTCAAATGACTTTTGAGTCAACTCAAAACTCAAAAGGCACCCGGTTTAGTGGCGGGAGCCTGGGCCTGGTGAGTCATTTGTTACCTCCATCCTCCACCACACCACTCAACGGTCCGCCATCTAGGGGGAGACCGTCACACATTCAACCTCAACTTCTTCCTCACTAGCTTCAGCCTGGGTGGGCCTGATGGGTCATGGCTTCTCTTTTCCTCAATCCTCCCCTCTTGGTGGCACTCCTTTCCCTCTCTCCCTCTTCTCCAACACTTCTCCACACACGTTACACCAAGAGGAGACGCGGGGCGACCTCTGCTTCAGGCGGCGAGGAGCCGTGGCGAACCACTCAGAGGCAGCACCTGAATGGGCTGCTGAAGGTTCTTCCTTCCATACCGTACTAGTGCTTCCCCCACCCCCCGTCGCCAACATCTGTTCACGCATGTTTTCCTTCACCATGAGGAGACGCGGGGCGACCTCTGCTTCAGGAGGAGAGGAGCCGTGGCGAACCACTCAGAGGCAGCACCTGAATGGGCTGCTGAAGGTTCTTCCTTCCATACCGTACTAGTGCTTCCCCCACCCCCCGTCGCCCACATCTGTTCACGCATGTTTTCCTTCACCATGAGGAGACGCGGGGCGACCTCTGCTTCAGGAGGAGAGGAGCCGTGGCGAACCACTCAGAGGCAGCACCTGAAGGGACCGCTATATTTCCTCCCCTTTCCGCTCCTTCCCTCTTGCGTGACCTCTTTTCCACACACCTCACTCCACCAGGAGGAGACGCGAGGGGAGCTCTGCTTCAGGCGGCGAGGAGCCGTTGCAAACCACTCAGAGGAATCTCCCGAAGCTGCGACCACCTCTTCCGAAGCTGCGACCACCTCTTCCGAAGCTGCAGGTTCGGAAGATCAGATTCGGCAGGAGCAGTGGGAGGCGGGCGGGCGTGTGGTGCTAGACGGGGGGCAGCAGATCACCCTCCTTCCGGGCGGTCTTGCTCTCTCCGCCCCCTGCTGTGTGCCCCGCGGCCGAGCCTTCTTCTTTGAAACCATCCTGGCAGAACCGGGGGAGGGAGAGGGGGTGGAGAGGCAAGGAGGCGAGGGGGTGGGGGTTGGGGTGGTTGGAGGGGAGGGGTGGCGGCGACGGCGAGTGGTTCGGACGTACGATCCGGATGGTTTGGTTGTGTCCAGCTCAGTGTTCGCTGAGAGGAGGATCGGGTGAGTTGAGATGGGGCACACAGCCTCGGGAGAACAGCACGGGCAGGAGGAGCAGGTCAAAGGGGGTGGGCGTGTGGTGCTGGACGGGGGGCAGCAGATCACCCTCCTTCCGGGTGGTCTTGCTCTCTCCGCGCCCTGCTGTGTGCCCCGCGGCCGAGCCTTCTTCTTTGAAACCATCCTGGCGGAACCGGAGAAGGGAGAGGGGGCGGGGGTTGGGGTGGAGAGGCAAGGAGGCGAGGGGGTGGGGGTTGGGGTGCCTGGAGCAGAGGGGTGGGGGCGACGGCGAGTGGTTCGGACGTACGATCCGGACAGTAGCTGAGTTGGCATGACGGTTCTGTAGTCGACTACATTTAGTGCTTCGGACATATGATCCGGATGGCATGGTGGTGTCTAGCTCAGTGTTTGTGGAGAAGATGGGTTGATTTTTTATGGCTGGGAGGAGGTTTGTTTGTGTCCTCCCCTCTTAAGAGGAAGCTGGGGTGGGTGAGATGTCCAGGTGGTTTGTTTCCCCCTTCTTGAGCCTTCAGAGCAGGCCTCTCGATATTAGGGTATTTCACCCTTATGGCCCTTACTATAAGGGAGGGTCTAGTTGTTCACCCTTGTTTTTAAGAGTTGGTTTATGAGGCACCCTTAGCAATAAAAGTGATTTTCTTGTTAACACTGATATTTAAGACATGCCTGGTGTACTCGCCCTGATGACCAAGACTAGTGTCGGGTACCACCCTGATGCGATTTGAGAAGAGGGGGGGGGGGGTACCGACGTGATTTGGGCCGCGATTAGCGGCGTTTTGCCCGAGTCAGCAGACGTGCGCGTCGCCACTGCCACAGTCCCGCCAAGTGTAATTTTCACCTGGTTCACCTGCAATTTGCCCGCGCAGCGCCACACAGGTGTGCTTCGTGCAGGAGGCATGTCCTGCTTGGTCCCATCTTCCCTCTCCTCTCCACCAGACCCCCACCCACCGACCAGTCTCACACACCCTACCCCATTCCTCTCGTTTCATTTCTCCATCCTACTACCTCCTCGCTTTCTCGTCTAGGGTTTGCAAACCACACCACCACGCCCTCATACAGCTAGCATAGGCCCAGCTCCAGCATCAACCTTTCTTGGCCTCGCCATGGCAGTTGACGAAACCGCTGATGGTGACGACGAGGCACGTCGTCAAGTCCTTAACCCACCCCCGCGCAGTGGTCTCAGCTTTTTACGAGGCCCCGCTAACAAGCCTCAAGAACCGGAGCCCTTTGTCGCTTCTACCGAGGATGATACCGCGGTGGATGAATCGGGTCGTGACCTGCGCTCACCTGATGTTTGCACAACAACGACTGATCCTTCCCCTCCAGAAGCGACAGCACCTGTAACGGAGATAGGCGCTGCGGCTGGCGACTCTGCGACCAAGAAGCGGAAAGACTCAAGCGGGTCCAGTGGAAAGCAGTGGTGGCGACAACCGAAGCCCTCTGTCTCGGGGGGGACACGTCCAAAGGCACGAGTGCAAGACGAAGGGAGTGATGAAGAGGAGGAGGAAGACGGCCTGCCGACTGTTGAAGAGATGGCCCGTTACCCCGAAGTTGCTTTTGCTATAGCGCATAAGCGATTTAAGACGTCATGGGAGTCTCTATTTTCGTGGCTGATTCTAACTCGTGATGATGTCGGCTTCCGTATTTTGAGATGCAGCACGTGCTTGGAGCACGGCGAGGAAGGCGCGAACACGGCATATGGCAAGGGTGGCAGTGGAGGGCGTGACATGCAGAAGGGGAGCATCCGGACGCACCAGCGCTCCACCGCCCACCAGGACGCACACGCCGTGTTGAAGTCGAAGGAGAGCCGGAAGCTGCGTCAGGCGTTGATCAGCGAGTTCGAGGGGCTGGATCGTGGTACGCATCACATCATCACCGCTCTGAAAACTACCGTGCACACATGCAAGTCGGAGGCGCCGATCACCTCCTACGTGGGCACCATCAAGTTCATGGCCGAGCTTGGAGTCCCCAACCTTCCCTTGGACTCCAAGGGAACCTACTTTTCGGAGTGAGTAAATCCTGGCCGAGCACTCGTTGTAGGCTTTGCTTTACCATTGTTTAGTTTACTATTTGCTAACATTAATGCATGTCTATTGCAGGTACGGCTTTGGGGAGTTGCTTGACGCTGCCGCTAAGTACATGCGCCAAGAGCAACTGAAGCACATCGAAGCGAGCCCGTACATCGCCATACAGCTCGTGTACGTGACCGGGTGCGCGGCAAGCACCTGATTGTGTACGTGAGCTTCATGAAGGACGGACCGAGCGTCTGTGAGTTTCTCACCTTGCTGACGGTGGACAAAGGTGATGCGGCAACCCTTGTAGACATTCTACTGACCCACCTTGACGCCGTGGGCATTGACCTGTCAAGGATCGTCAGAATCAGCACCGACGGCGCCAGAGTCATGACGGGCACCAGCAATGGCGTTGTGGCACGACTCCGGGCGAGGAATCCCTACCTCGTGTCGTGCCACTGCATCGCACATCGGTAAGTGCCTTTGCTGTTTTTGTTCTCTAGCTGCTAGTGTCTTTGCGGGTCTGGTACTAGCTGCTAGTGCCTTTGCTGGTCTTGTTATATTGCTGCTAGTGCCTTTGCTGTTCTCATTCTCTAGCTGCTTGTGCCACTGCTGGTCTTGTTCTCTTGCTGCTAGTGCCTTTGTTGTTCCTTGTCTCTAGCTGCTAGTGCCACTAACTAGAATTTCTCCTACTTTTGTATTGTGTTTGAGCAGGGAGGCATTGGCCGCGAAGGATGCCGCTGAGAAGGTGCCAGAGTTCGAGATCATTGACTAGGCGGTGCGCAACGTGGCGGAACAACTATCGAGGTCGAGCAACTGGCACCGGCGATTCGAGCACCTTCAGGAGGCTATCTGCGAAACCAACTTGGAGCTGCAGGGAATCCACGACGTGCGATGGCTCTCTAGAGGGGAGGCACTGAAGCGGTTCGCCAAGGTTCTACCGGCGATGATTGTGCTGCTGCATGACTTCAAGCACGCGCTCTATGAAGTCGTGACCTCTTTCAAATTCCACTTCATGCTTTTTTTCCTTGCCGACATTCTTTCGGTGCTCAACGAGCTCAACACCAAGTTCCAGAAGCAGCAGGTGATCTGTGGTGTCCACGTGGTTGCTCTTGTATGCCCTTGTTTTGCTCTTCTATCCCGTTTTCCTTGTGTCCCCGGTTGTTCTTGTATGCGGTGGTTGTTGTATGTCCAACCTCAGACTGTAACTCTTTATGCCAAACCAACCCCAATCACAGGTTGACATCACGGTGGTCGCGGGGGAGGTGTCGCTAGCATGCCGGACTATCGAAGTGCGTTACGTGGACTGGGAGGATCGTTTCGGCAACGATCAGTCGCCCATGCTCTGCGCGTTCCTGAAGAGGCACGGCAACTCGGACCACCGCGAAGTCACCGTCAAAGGCGTGGACCAGAATGGTGACGCTGCAGATCACAAGTTCACGCTACAGGAGCGTAAAATCCTAGGCCATAAGACTGGCAGCGACTACTACTCCTGCAAAGTGGTGTGCCGGGAGTTTGCGAAGGCCTGCGTTGGGCGTCTCGAGTTCCGCCTGGAAGACCTGAAGGACCTGGCCGGCTCCAAGATGTTCCGGCCGTCGTGCTATCCCGACGACAACACGCAGCGGATGAAGAAGTGCCGCGAGTGGTTGGGCATGTTAGACCACATGTTTCACCACCGCCTCTTTGGTACGCCACCTGACTGTGCTTAGAACGTGATGTAAACTCTGTGTGTGTGTGTGTGTACCTTGGTGTGATGCTAAACACCTCCCCTACGCCCCGATCGCCCCTCTCTTTGCTCTGCTCTCCCATCCCGTCCGGTGTGTGCTTCAAGGCGTGCGAGAGGGAGCTGCCGTTGTTTCTGCACACGATGGATACCAACCACGGCAACCTGGGCTTCCACAAGTCGCTCTCGCTCATGCTCCACTCAACAGACTACATGGGAGCTTACCTGAACCTCGTGCAGTTGTGGCAGGCTGTAGCAGTGCTCCCCCTCAGCACGGTGGAGTGCGAGCGCGGCTTCAGCCGCCAGAACCGTATCAAGACATGGACACGGAGCTGCCTGCGCGACGCCAAGCTGGGCGATCTGATGACCGCAGCACTCCTGCCCACTGAGGGTCTGAACTGGGTGAATGTGGTGTCAGAATAAGCAGGAATGAATGAGTGAACTAGGCAAGAGGTGAGTACAAGTAGGGGAAACCTAACCCTAAAGTGTTGTACTCACTAAGGAGTGACCCTACTGTAGCCTAGAGATACAATTGTAATTTGACACACCCCCATAGGCAAAGTAGGGGACAGCTAACACAACAAGCGGTCACAAGACCAGTCTGCAGAAGAGAGCACAGCTCAGGGTGGATCACAAAGTCACCACGCATTCTGAGCACAAGCAAGTGGCCACAAGGCCAGTTCACATGCAGAGGTATTGTTAAAATCTTAGGCAAGGTGGTTTCAACTATCGAGGAGTTTGGTACAAAAGTAAAACCTAAGGGGTTGTACCCCACAGTGAGTACCCCACTAAAGCCTACCTAAACTATAACATATAAACATATGTTTGACACACCCCCATAGGCAAAGTGGGGGAGAACAGAGGGTCACAAGGCCAAGCAGGAAGTGCAAAGCAAGCTCAGGGTGGATCACAACGTCACCACGCAGTCTGAGCACAAGCAAAAGGCTACAAGGCCAGTTCACATGCAGAGATATATATGTAACAAGAACAGCACAGTGATCTCTAGCTAGCAAGAGCAAGCATGCAGGTATATATATACATAGATCACAGTACAAGCAGAGACTACAGCAAGTGTGGAAACGTAGGCACAAGGCCCAACAAAGTACAAAAGCGCTGATGGTCACCAGACGGAAGTGCCTTGGTGAATATATCAGCAGTGTTGGCCCGAGTGGCCACGTGAGCAAGGCGAAGCTGACCCCGCTGCTGCAACTCTCGAGCCAGGAAGTAACGCAGAGCGATGTGCTTCGTTCTGTGCTCCAGTCTGTGCTCCTGACACAAGGCAATGGCGGCCTTGTTGTCTACGTACAGAACTGGAGGAGAACGAGGCCGCTCTCCCAGGTCGGTCAGCAGGTAGGTGAGCCAGCGTAACTCCTATGCAGCCATGGCTGTGGCGTAGATCTCAGCCTCCCAACTGGAGCTGAGAACAGAAGACGAGCGTGTAGACCGCCAAGAAACAAAGCCAGAGCCAAGGCTGAAGGTGTAACCCTGTGACGACCGCTGCGTAGCCTGGTCGTCAACCCAAGAAGCGTCTGAGTGGCCAGTGAGGACTACGTCGCTCCGTCCTCCAAGCACGAGCCCCATGCCCGATGTACTGCACAAGTAGCGTAGTACCCTCTTAGCAGCATCCATGTGCACCTTTCGGTGCCGACCAGGAGCCACGTAGCGAGCCAGAAGGCCAAGAGGGTACGCAAGGTCAGGACGAGTGCAGGTCATCAGGTACATGAGGCAGCCCACTAGCTCTGGGTAAGGACCACTCGGCTCTACGGACTCGTCCGAAGGTGGAGCTGAGAGCGAGTGACCTGTAGCCAGAGGAGTGGCCTGTGCCGAGGACCAGGTGAAGCCGAAGCGCTGAAGGACCTGCTGCACCATGTGTGACTGAGTCAGTGTGATGGTGCGGCGTGCTCTGTCCCGGGTGATCCGCAAGCCAAGATAGCTTGTCAGCTCACCCAGGTCTGTGCACGTGTGTCTCTTCTGCAGCTCCAACTTCACCGGGGCGAGAGCCTCAGTGTCAGCAGTGGCAAAGACCAAGTCGTCGACGTACACGAGGATGTAGAACGGTGGCAGCGAAGTGTCGGTGCGCAGAAACAGCGACGAGTCAGCAGTCGAAGGAGCAAACCCAAGAGCCGCAAGTGTCGTCCTCAGTGTGTCGTGCCACTCACGTGGCGCTTGGCGGAGACCGTAGACCGGCCGCCGGAGGCTCCACTGGATACCAGGAGGGAACGACCCAGTGAAGCCAGGTGGGCGGCGCAGCCAGATCTCCTCGTGCAGGCTGCCCTGTAGGAAAGCAGTGCTGAAGTCAAGACAGTGGAGCTCGTAGTCACGCTGAGCGGCGACGTGCAGCAGAACCCGAAGAGTGGTCATCTTCGGGGTGGGGGAGAAAGTCTGGAAGAAGTCAACTCCCTCTCGCTGACTGAAGCCTCGAGCAACGTAACGAGCCTTGAAGACAGGCGGAGAACCCGGCGGCCGCTTCACCCTGAAAATCCACATGCCACTGACGATGTTCGCCCCAGGAGGGGGAACCTCGTCGACGTACGTGCCTGTGGACTTCCAGGATGCCATCTCTGCGTCCATGGCTGTCTGCCACTGAGAGGAGTACTCACCCGCGATCGCCTCAGCGTAAGAGCGCGGGGTCGGGATGTCTGGTGCATCCGGGTCTCCCTCAGGAGCAAGCAGCATGGCCACGAGATGAGGCGCAGTGGCGGCAAGACACTCAAGGTCCTCCTGCCTGTCCTCAAGGACGTCCGTGCCAAGAGCACACTCACCCCCGACGGACGGAGGACAGACAGACTCAGACTCAGCAACAAGACTAGCAGCGTAGTCTAGACGACAGGCAGCAGCAAAGTCAACCAGCTCCGCGACAAAGGCAGACGCAGCAGTAGACTCAAACGACGGGTCATTGACAACAGTGGCTAGCAGACGCGTGACAGTAGGGTGCTCAGCACGAAACCGGTCAGACTCAGGGTCCGCAACGACAGGCAGAGAAGACGCAGGAGGAGACGGCAGAGGAACACACTGCGGAGGAGAGGAAGGACGACGGACTACGAGGTGGGTGTCGAGGACAGCTGGCTGACGCAGACGAGGAACACGACGACCGGAACGACCAGAACAGACAGGCGAGACAGGACGCGACGCAGGCTCACGACGCACAGTAAGACCTCCTGGCTGCTCAGTGTAAGGAGAAGGAGCAGGCAGAGGTGAGCCAGGCTGTAACGGAAGACCAGTAGACGACGGGAGGCTAAGAACCTGGCGAAGTACGGAGTCAGGGGGTGGCAGAGACGACGGAGACGGTGGAGCAAAGAACAGGCGCGGCTGTGCAGTGCCACCAGTACCAGCAGCTCCAGCACCCTCAGCAGCTCCAGCACCCTCAGCAGCTCCAGTACCTCCAGCAGCTGCAGCACCCTCAGCAGCTCCAGTACCCTCAGCAGCTCCAGCACCTCCAGCAGCTCCAGCACCCTCAGCAGCCCCAGCACCTCCAGCAGCTCCAGTACCCTCAGCAGCACCCCCAGAACCGGCACCTCCAGTCCCAGGGTCTCCAGCCTCCGTGTCTCCAGCAACAGCACCCCCAGACCCAGGGTCTCCAGCAGTAGCACTCTCAGGCTCAGCAGTACCTCCAGCCCCAGCAGCTCCAGCACCTCCAGTACAAGCACCTCCGGGACCAGCACCACTCCCAGCTCCAGTGGCGTCAGCAGAAGTACCTCCAGCGGTAGAGCCCCGAGCTCCAGAAGCACGACCCTGACGGCGACCGTACCAGTCGTGCAGCTGCTGTGAGGTGAGAGGCACACGCGTACAAAGGCGGCTACTCCAAGGAGACCGCGCAGGAGCAGACTCAGAACCCTCAGGCGTCGCACCCCCAGACTCAGCACCCCCAGGCTCAGGACCTCCAGGCTCCTCACGCTCAGGCTCAGCGCCCCGAGACTCCACAGCCCCCCGGCTCAGCACCCTCAAGCTCCGCACCCCCAGGCTTAGCACCCCCAAGCTCCGCACCCCCAGGCTCAGCACCCCCAGGCTCCGCACCCCCAGGCCCAGCACCCCCAAAGACAGCACCACCCCCAGCAGGACCTGAGTCACCAGTGACCTCAACAGGCGCAGGCACGGGAGGGTCTACCTGAGAAACACCTGAAGGAGCAGGACCTGGCGCGGGGAGGGGGTCTACCTGGGGAGGACCTGGGGCGAGAAAGAGCGGCAGGGGGGGGCGAGGGGTAGTGTGGTACGGAAAGAGACGGTAAAAGGGGACGGACTCGTCAAAGGTGACGTCCTGAGACGGAAAGACACGACGCGAGGCTGGGTCGTAAAACTGCCAGCCAGGCGCGTCAGGGACAAAGCCAAGGAAGACGCAGGGAATGGCGCGAGCGGAGAGTTTGTCCGCGGTGGTATCGCGGACAAAGGCACGAGCACCCCAGACCCGGAAACGCGACGCATCGCCAACCTTCCCCGTCCACAGCAGTGTGGGCGAGGTCTCCGGCAAGGAGACACGGGGCCAGAGGTTGAGCTGATGGGCGGCGTACCGGACCGCAAACGGCCACAGAAAATGGGGGGCAGCCGCATGGATCATGGAGGTACGAGCGACCTCCATGACTAAGCCAATGCGGCGCTCAGCAACCCCATTCTGCTGCGGAGAGGCCGGAAGCGTGAACGTCTGGCGGATGCTGTGCTCCGCACAGAAGGCTGCCAAGAGGTCTGAGGAGAACTCACCACCTCTGTCAGAGTGCAGACGCAGGACAGGAAAGTCCGACTGGAACCGCTGTGCTAGTTGGCTGGCGATGTACGAAATCTCGGGTTGGCAGGTGACAGAGGCGAACAGCAGGCACCCCAATTTCTGCTGGTACATTTGGAGTCCTGCGGGTGACAGAGGTTTGTTGTCCGGTTTGTAGTTGGCGCTGTGGTTGCGGTAAGGGGTTGAGAGTGGTGCGGGCGAAATGTTGAAGCGTTCCCCCAGCTGCTCTGCGTACTTGGAGGCTGACAGGTGAATTGCTTCTGGCGCGTAGG